CCCCAAAACCCCAAAACCCCAAAACCCCTATTTCAGCATTTTTAGTTGAAATTATAGGAATTATATTTGAACTACCCTTTCAAGAATTTCTCTTGAGGTGAAATTCATCCGTTCACAGTTGAATATATGGACATATCTCTGACCTCAGACCCTCATGCCACTTTTTTCAAGGGAATAGACTCCGTTGATAGTAAAGGAATCAGGCTGGTTCATTGTATTCTCATATCTCACTAGATAATGCATACTGTTTTGGATTCGGATAATGAACATTCTGTCGACAGGCTCTTTGTTCCAACCACCAAAGAGAAGAATTTCTTCTGGACTTGCTTGTACTCAACCAATATCACTGATAGGGGTTGGCAGAAGCAGATTTAGAAGTAACCACTGGCCATTCCCTTCTTGAAGGTCAGTTCTTTCAATCCTATCGATGATGGGGGAATCTATCTTCTCCTTACAGATTCCTCCAAAAGAGTATAAATATCTCTGGCCTATCAGTAAGAGGCTGGTTGCTGACTTTTTGAGCTGCATTTTGCCAAGCGATGACCAGGTATTTTCTTCACAGTTATAATACTCAGCCTCATTGCTTGTGTTTGTCAGGCTGAGGTCTCCACCAGCAACAAAAATCTTCTTCGTATGAATGCAAACAGTTATGCCAAAGTTGGCTCGCGCTTGTAGCATGGGCTCAGCATTGAAGAACTTGCTAGTCCCTGGGTTCACCTTGAACATCATCTTTGAGACCTGTCTGTACTCAAAGTCTGATGTACCTCCCAGGAGGTACAGACTGTCATCAGGGAAATATGCAATTCGTGCATAAAGAATAGTCGGGCATGACAGAATTGGTGGTGTCATCAGCGTTGAATGAATTGATACCTTATGCAAGTTTTCAGACTTTAAGGTATAGAAATGCTTGTAAATTTTATCTATCTCCTGAACTTCAGCTGGATTTTCATTCGGCTTAAATGGAGTCTTAAGATCAGGGTTAAATCCATATTCTTTAAATTGCTCTTCTTCCTGCTCTTCTCCATACTTGATTGCCAGCATTGGAGGAGGTGGGAATTGAACAGTATTTATGATCTTTTTCTCCTCAATTTCTTCCATCATGGTGTGCTGTTGATACAAGCTTGGAGGTTGGACACTAAGAGGTCTCGTTGCAGGCCCAAAGTATGCTGGAAGGTCCTCGAACCTATCTGGCTGATCCTCAATAAGTTGAGCTTGAGCAAAGCTCAAGCTCTGAAGCATTTGAGGTTGCTTCAAAATATTCTGAGCCATCTTCTGCCTTAGCAAAGCCTTGTAATTATCTGGCATGATATCCTTCCGCATCATGCGGAGCAAATCATCAGATTTAGATACCTTCTTAGTAATTTTCTTCTCCAAGAAATGAGCATCAGCTCTTCTCTGTGAGAAGAAATCAACAACAGATTCCTTCAAAAATTTGGGATTTTTGGCATTATTTCATTCTAGTGGATAATTCTTGGATTGATCTGGTCACATCCTGAAGATAGGCATCAAGCTTATTCTGGACTAGAGTTTCCATACCTAAAGGGGGCTTTTTGCTGATTCATTCCTCTCAGAGAGGCTCTGAGAGGAAGATTCAGCAAGAGTCCTTACTAGAGTGCTCTCAGCAAGCTTGACCTGGAATATCTATAGGCTTACTGGCAACTTTATCAGGATTTGAGTCGTCACTACTTTGACTAGAGGAGATACTCATTTAAATTTTGGCTAGAAATGAAGGAAATTTGGGGGTAAAGGAAATTAATTAGAATTTTTAATTTTAGGAAGGTTTCTTTCAATATTTAGATTTAAGAAAGGGGTTTTGGGGTTTTGGGGTTTTGGGG